AATTCTGCCGTGCAGGGGATGCAGGGCCTGACGGCCATGCCGGTTATTCCAGGCCTCTAGCTGAGAATGCACTAGGTTTGGTGGGCTTCCTTCAACAGATAAGACTGAGTCCTTGCTTTTTAAGGAAAGCAGACACTCCCTCCCTCATGCTTGGGATATTTTGAACTATTTTCAACCAAGTGAGTTTGTGAACATAGAGCTGCAAAACCACAGACATTTCAGATGCGCACACACCCCCGTCCGCCTGGAAGCCCAGGTTTCAGAACTGGAGTCGCCACTGTCATTGATAGCCCCCTGATGTATTCCACCCCAGCCCGGGCGTTTCTTGTCTGCACACCAGCACCTGGGCCCGCTCACCCGTCCAGCCGTCTGGGATACCTGTCCACCCGTATCTGGGAGTTTGGTGGCCCCCTGCCTCTAAGAAACGGCCTAACAGCACGGGCCGCCTGGGAAGACGCGGGGTGCCCCGAGCCCCAGCCTGGGCCATGCATGGTTCTTCAGTGTTTTCATAAAAAAAAACACCTGGAGAGTGTAGACACACCCTTGCGATTGTCCTCACAGAGCTGGCATGGGCTCTGCCAGATTAGCATAGGGCCCGCTTATTGTGCATTACTCCCTGCCGTTCACAGCAGAGCTAAATATACTTGGGCGTTTCTCCTTGGGGAGCCCGGCCAGGGTGCACGCCTCACCAAAAGGCTCCCCCATGGGAGCCCGAAGGACAATGGCAGGAAGAGTCGACTTATAACCTACAAGGCCAGGAAGCGACCCGTGTTGGCACGACTGCTCCGGAGCCCATCCAGTCTGTCCCCTGACTGCACTTTAATCCTGGACACCTCCAGGTGAGGAGATTCCTGCGCTCCCCCGGGGAAACCCAACCCAGCGCTTAGCCACACTCCCAGCCTTCAGGAAGTTCGCCCTTGTATCTAACCAACCGCTCTAATTGTACATCATTTATTTCCTCTTTTTTTTCCTGTCCTCAGAGGAGATGGGAAACAGCTGGGCACCACCCTTCAAGTAATAATTACCTTCTCCAAACTGGAAGACAATCCAGTCGCTCCTTGGCCTTCTCTTTCTCGGCTTCAATCATCCATCCCCAGTCCTTTAATCATCCCCCCGGCCTTTAATCACTTCTGATGGCTGTGCCCAATCTGGGGCTCCAGGACCCTAATAAGCCCCTCCACCCCCCTTTCCTGGGGCATGAGCAGTCGGGGCCAGGGGGCTGAATGAATGATCCTGGCAGGGGCCCTGGGCAGATAAAATGAGCAGCAGCAGCAGCAGCAAGAGAGGAAAATGCACTTAAATCTGGCAAGAAAAACACAAAGGTAAGGCCTCTGCCTTCTGGAATGGCACACTCTCCTGAGGTCACGGAGAAGGCAAGGCCATTTGTAGGCCTGGCCCCACGGGGAGGTGTGATTAGAGGGGCCTCCTACCCCACAGGTCCAGCACGAGACTTGCTGTGGGGTGAATGGTGCAGCCCACTCCCCACCCCCCCAACGCAAAACCTCAGAATGCGACCTGATTTGCTGTAAGGATCTTTGGAGATGTAATTAAGACAAGGCTGTCCAGCGAAGATCATCTTGGGTGAAGATGAGCCCTAACCCAGCCATGAACATCTTTATGGGGCCGAGAAGGACACACGCAGATGCAGAGAAGAGGCCACGTGAAGCCAGAAGCAGAGACTGGAGTGATGCGGCCACAAGGCGAAGCACACTTGCCACCCAGAAGCTGGAAGAGGCAGGAGGGACGCTCCCCTGGAGCCTTCGGAGGAGCAGCCCTGCTGATACCCTGATTTGGGGCTTCCAGCCTCCAGAGCTGGGGGAGTCCATTTCTGTTGTGTTCAGCCCCCCTGGTTTGCAGTCCTTTTGTCACAGCAGCCCCAGGACACTAATACATATGTCAAGGTCCCAGCTGAGCCATTTGTTTAGGTCGGAGCAGCATCCCCCAAAGATGTCCAATAAGCCACAGAGCCTGTCCCAGGAAACAGGCTGTCCCACAGCAGCAGGCAGTCCTGGGGGAACTGGGGGGAAAGCTGCTGGCCAGGGACGGGCAGTAAAGGCACAGTATGGAGTCGGGTTCGAGCCTTCCTGGGAATGGGAAGGCACTGGTCTGATGAGAAGCCCACAGGTCAAGCTGGGTGGAGTGAAGCTCGAAATGCATGGGAAACGGAGGAAGGGAGGGAGGAAGGAAACGGTGGGCGGAAACAGCACACACCAGTATCCGTGACCCCAGCTCCAGGGGCTTGGGGGGCAGAGGGAGGACCGGTGGCTGTTTGCCCAGCCACTCTGGGCTTTTGGACAGGACACCCCACTAAGTGGCTCATTTGTTTTGTCACAGACCAGGGCTACTCCGGGGCAGGGGCCATATGGTCTCAGCTTGTCTGGGCCTGGCGCACAGTAGGACCTCCCCCAACCCCGAGCTCCCTCGGCCCTCCATCTCCATACACGGCACTGCCATCCTCCCGGGCGCTCCAGCCAAACACCCAGGTGTCACCCCGAGTCCTGCCTCCCTCACCCGCCGGTAAGTTCCCACCTCCAGCATGTGTAGGGAGCAGTCTGATTCTGCCCCCCGCATGTCCCTCTGCAGACCAAGCCCCCCCAGTGGTCAGCTGCCTGACGCGCTCCCACCGGCGCTCTAGGGTTATAAACCGACACCACCTGGTTTGCAGCGCCTGCCTTTTCTGCGATGTGAAGCCCCTCGCCGATGTCCAGCCACCGGTGTGACGCTCCTGAATCTGGGAGAGCTGTGCGGGGGCCGCCACTGTATGGCCCCAGCGGGAAGGGGCTCGGGCAGAGATGACCGTCAGATGGGGTAAAATACCGAGGGAGCTCAAGTGTGGTGTATCTATCACCTTTGTTCCTAATGTAAGTACTTGTAAGTTATTGAATTTATGTAAATCTAATATGTAATTTAATTTTTTTCTAATAAAGCAATGCATTTCTTTACGGTGGTAAAAATTTAAAATTACCATTTTAACCATTTTTTTAAGCGTACAGTCAAGTGGCATTAGGTACATTTATGCTGTTGTGCAGCCATTGTCACCCTCCATCTCCAGAACTATTTCATTTTCCCAAACTGAAACTCCGTCCACATTAAACACTCGCTCCCCTCCCCC